TGGGTCCTCATTTTACCCACCTCGGAAGGAGGGAAGGCTGAATCCACCTTGAGCCGGTCAGAATCGAACTGCTGGCTAATAATTCTTGATTGGGTTCCATAACGGGAGGGGCAGTTTTCTGGGACACTAAAGTTTTGCCCCTTAATCAATCCCAGGATCTTTTTTTAAAACAACAAGAAGGCCTGGAAAAGTTTGAAAATCCCTATTTCATACTTCATACTATTCTACTGTATTTCTCTAGATTCTCTCGCTCATTATCTTTTCGTCTAAAACCTTTGTCAAAAATTATTATCTTTCCTCCCACAGGAGCTGTTCAATCGTATTTATTTCTCTTCTCACTAAATTTTTGAAGCAGGTTATATATTCCGCATTTCGGCCATGGTCACATCATAGCTTTATTGTAAGACAATGACAACCCATTCCACTCCTATTGACCTTCACTCTGTAATTGACTGCTTTCATACACTGGATTAAAGTTTTCTTTAACGTGCGTCATAATTTTCAATGTTCCTTTCCAAGGCCACTGTAGAGGTTTTGGCAAACAAAAAAAATAACTTTTCCCAGCAGCTAATGGTAACGTCTCAAAGCAAAAAAGGATGTAAACAAGCCAAGAATGGTAGCGTTTGCCTAAGAATCAAGAAAACTCCATTCTATGGAATCACATAGTAGGTAGAACTTAATATTTTTAACATGTTCTCATTGTTGCTTCTGTTCTCTTTCATTGCCCATTTGTGTCCGTGGAAATCCACCCTCCAATCTCCTTTAGCAAAGTTCTATTTGTAGATTTCTGCAGCAGACCCCCACAAGAATCACTTTGGTAAAATAAATTCCAAGTTTGATAACATTCTGTGTCTTCTTTCTGTTTGATTTTTCAATGTAAGCCTGTCCATTTCTGCACGGTCTTAATATCTTCTTAATTGTCTCTTCATCTGGAGGTGTTTCTTCATCTTTCCAATATTGTGCGAAGATAATTCTCGTTGGGGAAAAAAAAAGAGTGGAGAGTAAGAAAGGCATTCGTATTGAGAAGCAAATGAAATACTCAGGCAACAGGATGTTTATTAAGCACTAAGGAACGTAATTAATAGAAAATTAATAATTTTTTTTATAAAAAAGAATCACTTTGGGTGGGTTAAATTTTAGGGGACAAAACCTTTGCACTCTTCATTTGAAAAGGGAATGCTACGGTATCAGCCCACAAGTCAAAAGCACCAAAACACAGAAAGTTTGACTAACTCCCCAGGATTACAGAGGGGGGGGGAGAGCCCCATTTTCGCCACCCATGTGCTTGTCCCTAACAGAGTTGGAAGGGACCCAGAGGTCATCTAGTTCAACCCCCTGACCAGGCAGGAAACCCTACACCATTCCAGACAAATGGCTGCCCAGTCTCTTTAAAACTTCCAGTGTTGGAGCATTTACAACTTCTGGAGGCAAGTGGTTCCACTGGTTGTTTCAACTCAGGAAATTTCTCCTTAGTTCTAAGTTGCTTCTCTCCTTGGTTAGTTTCCATCTGTTCTTTCTTGTCCTGCCTTCAGGTGCTTTGGAAAATAGTTTGACTCCTTCTTGCTTGGGGCAACCCCTGAGATATTGGAACACTATTATCGTATCACCCCTAGTCCTTCTTTTCATTAAACTACTAGGCAGACCCAATTCCTTTCTATGTTATAGAATAGAATAGAATAGAATAGAATAGAATAGAATAGAATAGAATAGAATAGAATAGAATAGAATAGAATAGGAATTCTTTATTGGCCAAGTGTGATTGGACACCCAAGGAATTTGTCTCGGTGCAAATGCTCTCAGTGTCCATAAAAGAAAAGAGACATTCATCAAGAATCATCAGGTACAACACTTAATAACAGTCATAGGGTACAAATAAGCAATCAAATCATAGTAGGAAACAGTCAATATAAAAGGATACAAGCGACAAAGTCACAGTCATACAGTCACAAGTGTGAGGGGATGGGTGATAAGGAGTGATGAGAAGATTAATAGTAATAGTAGGGATGCTTGGATCGTGAGGGACGCTTGGATCGCGCTGCCCAGTGGGGTGTCTTGGAGTAAGAGCGGGGCGGCGGGCAACCGCTTTGAAGCGGCCTTGAGCAGCCCTTTCTCTGCGCCCGAAGAGGAAACTTTGTAAATAGTTGGACAGTGTCGAGGGAATTGTGTGTTTAGCAGAGTGATGGCCTTCGGGGGGCGGGGGAACTGTCCTTGTGTCTAGTTGTTCTGGTGTGCAGGGCTCTGTAACAGTTTATGTCCAGGATGCGAGTCCAATCCTCTCTCTGTGCTGCTCTTCTCTTTCGAGAGTCTCAACCTCTTTGATGGACCTTCTCCGGGATCGGGGAGGGAGGGAGGGAGGGAGGGAAGGAGGCAGGGTGTCCAGCCTTACCGGGCGGGCGGAGAGGGAAAGCTGCCCCCCTCGCCGTGGCAGGAAAAAGTATGAAGTCATATTTCTCCGCACGTCCGGAAAGGCGGGGAAGACGCTCCTCCGTATCTTGCGCGGGGAGGTGGGGAGGAACGAGCGGCCCGGGGCTATTTCCTGCCTGCTGCTAGGCAGAGAGCCCATGTCCCCCTTGTCCTGTTGGCCGCGTCGCCTTTCTCACGTGCTTGTCCCGGGTTTGATTTGCCGCAGCGGGTGGGGGGGGGGGGGGGGAACAGCCAGGCAAGAGGCGGTCGGCGCCGCAGTGTCCCTTGTCCAGGGTCCTGAAAGGGAGCGCCGATTCGGGCGCTGCGCCCACCCGGGTCCGGGGCTCTGGATAGCGGCAGCGTTGCAGGCGTTCCAGCCCGGCGAGGGACGCTTGGATCGCGCTGCCCGGCGGGGTGTCTTGGAGTAAGAGCGGAGCGGCGGGCAACCGCTTCGAAGCGGCCTTGAGCAGCCCTTTCTCTGCGCCCGAGAGGAAAGTTGGGCAAGGCGGCGGGGAAGGGTCCCCTCGCCCGTTCGCTCGGCTCGGCTCGGCAGTCCCCTCCCCTCTCTTCCCTGTTCTCTCTTTCCCTCCTCCGTCTCTCTCTCTCCCTCCCTCTCTCTCACTCACTTTCTCACTCACTCTCTCTCCCCCCTCCTCACTCTCTTCTCTCTCTCTCTTCTCCCTCTCTCCTTCTTTCTCTCTTTCTCGCGCTTCGGCAACTTCCTCCCCTTCCCGCCTCTCTCAAAACCCCACTACAGCTGCACTTCGGAGGAGTTGGGCTCCGTTCGCTTCCCCGTTGCCCGGTTCATCGCCGCGTCTTGGCTGGACTCCTTTCTCCCTTCCCATTCGGGCCACACTCCGTCGGAATCCCGTCCTAGACTCGGATTAAGCTCTTGAGCTCTTGGGTGATTGTTAGCCAAAGGCTGCTGCTGGCTGCTCGAGGCAGGGAAGGCGCAGCGGAGAAGCTCCTCGGGGAGAATCGCGAAGTTGGGTTGACTTGGCTTGCGAACGGAGGAGTCGGATTAAGCTGGAGCAGTCCTCGGAACTCTGGGGCCTGGGTGTGTGTGTCTGAGTTCACACAAGGCACTTCAGGAGTCCGTTACGAACCTGGGACCCGCCTTGACGTGCCTAACGTTCAGCTCGGCTCGTTCGTAGCCTTGGCTTTTTAAAATCTTTTCTTCCTGGAGGCTCAGCATGTGGTGCCATCGACCCAGCCTAAATGGTTCGTTTGTGGTTAGCGTGCGAACCCGGAACACGGTTTAACTCAGGAGGCCGGGTGAAGCTTATCGTGTGAACCGCGGGAGGGGCAGGCAAGGGGGTTGATGGCTCGGAAGACGCGCGAGGCGGGCGGCCCTTCCGAGGAGCAACGGCGGCTGCGGCTGGGGAGCTCTCCAGGGTCCTGAAGGCGGACCATGGTGGAGACGCTGACCGTCGCCGTCCTGGGGGCCCCCAAAGTAGGCAAGACAGCCATCATCCGCCAATTCTTGTACCACGACTTCACAGAGAAGTACAGACCCACGGAGGACCGTTACATCTACCGGCCGTCGGTCATGCTGAATGGGAACTCCTACGACCTGAAAATCATGGACGTCCCTTACGTGGCAGCTTTTCCTGCCAACAGTTCTCAGGTGAGCTCCTCTTTTTCCTCCCCTCCCTTCCCACCTGGCCGTTTCCACCACCCCAGCAGCTACGGAGAAGCGGAATGGTACTTTGACCAGGTGGGGTGGGGTGTCAAGCCAGGTTGGAGTTGGATGGCTCTTTCCATTTTTCCGGTTTTGTCCCCCGTGTGTGCAAAGTGATCAAAGGTGCACATATTTCTTGCTGCTTCAGGAGATGGGGGTGCAGTCTGGTGCTTCAGGAACTGGACTAGGACTATGGCGACTCAAGATTTGAGTTTGCCTTTGGCTCTGCAAGTTTGTTGGTCACCTTTGTGGAAGTAATGTTGCCTCTAAGCACAGTCTATATTGCAGGATTGCTGTTGTGCACATTTAAGACAGAATCTCCTGGAAGCTAATTTGAACTCATGGAAAAAAGATGGGATCTAGGTCTTTCTGGATTTAATAGACTTATTAACATCTCCTTTTCTTTTCCTTCCTTTTTCTTTTTCTTTCTTCCTTCTCTCTCTCTTTCTTTCTTTCCTTCCTTCCCTCCCTCCCTTCTTTCCTTCCTTCCTTTCCTTTCTTCTTCTCCTTCCTTCCTTCCCCTTATTTTCTTGCTTTTTTCACCACCTGTGTAATTTCAACACCTGAAAAGCAGTGAGTGCACACTGATGATAATTTCATTCAGTGAGCTCCCAATCAAAAAAAAAAACTCTTGTTTTTCTGGATGTAATTAAACAAACCTGAAACTTAGGCAAAAATTAATCACCGTTATTTCACACAAATAGGCTAACCGTGGTTAGTTTCTATGAGGTTTGCTGTGCCAGGTAAGACAAGCCTCCTTGGTTGGCTTAGGTCTCAATGTATCATAGAAAGCTCAGAATAAGAGGGTGAGTCGATCTAAGCCAGCATAAGGCTCTATTCTCCTGCTTGGAGGGGAGGGGGTTGCACTAGAAGACCTCTTAGATCCCTCTGTTGTTCTGCTAAGAAAAGCTGCAAAGCTTGGAACATCTGCCTGAACATCATTAGATGACATTTCAAATAATGTGAGGGAGGAGGCCCCAGGGGACATTTTTTGAACTTTGCATTGTGTTCCGAAGCCAGATTTATTCTTTCGTACTTTAAACCCCCTGCTTCGATAAAAGCAGAAACCCTGCTAATATTTTGCATTTCACATTTAAAACGGAGGAAGCGAAATAAAAGCGTTCTCTACATTGATGGACAGAGATTTGCAGGATATTTCAGCAGTGACCAGCCTGACTTAACAAACCCAACAGAATACGCCGTTTGCAGATCTGATTTAAGTAATTCCAGTACTGTTGTGGCTGAATTTAATTTTAATTCGGATTCAATTATATCCAGGGGGGGAAAAGACAGACAAGAGCGAAATGTTTCTTCCCAATTTTTTGCATAACGAAAGCTACGAGAGGCTCAAAGAGCCACGGCAAGAACCGTGAGCCCATTTCCGGCCTTGCCAATAAGCCTCCGGAGCTCAGGGAGGGTGAAAACACCGCCATGGTGTAGGTGGCCGACTAGGCCACATCCACCTTGCCATGCCCACCTAGCCACCGGGGCAAAGAACTGCTTTGCGGAAATTTTTGAAGCCCACCCCTGAATAAAGAACTCCGCTTGGAAGAATCACCATGGGTCCTTCTTGGTTTGGGGCCTGGGTCACATGGTGACTGAGGAATCCTGGGAATTGAAGTCCACACAGGAGGTGGGATGGAATGGAGATTTGATCCAGCTCATGGATTGGCAAAAGAATCGCTCAGGACCGAAAGGCGCGGAAGAGGCCTTCGTCCTGCAATGGGTAGACCGTGGATAGAATGGTGTTAATTATGATTATTTAGCTTTCACATGACTGGGTTTTTCAGTTATTTGCATCGGCCTCCACTTCGTCACTTTTAGTCTCTTGTGGTTTCGGTTGCTTTTTTCTTTTTCTTTTTTTTAAATCCAAACACTTACAGATGGATACTAGTTTTCTTAGTTCCAGCCAAATAGCACATTCATGCTTTGAAATTCTTCAACCTCCAACACCTCTCGGGAGGTGTTTTTTAAAAGGGGGTGGAAGACCAAACCAGCCAAAAAAACAAAAAACAAAAACCCAACCACCCCCAAAAAAGCTTTAGATATAAAACAGTTCTAAATCAATATGACGATGATGGTTTTAGACCCAACGTAGACATTGATGGTACCACAAATAGGTATAAAGTCATACCTAGAGTGGTTGAACTAGGATGATTAAAGGCCTGGAGACTAGAACATACGAAGAACGGTTGCTGGAATTGGGTATGTCTGGTCTAGTGAAAAGAAGGACCAGGGGAGACAGGATAGCAGTCTTCCAATATTTGAGGGGCTGCCCCAAAGAAGAGGGAGCCAAGCTATTCTCCAAAACATCTGAAGGCGGGACAAGAATCAACAAATGGAAATTAATCAAGGAGAGAAGCAATTAGAATTAAGAAGAAGAAGAATTAGAATTAAGGAGAAATTTCCTGACAGTTAGAACAATTAATCAGTGGAACAACTTGCCTCCAGCCGTTGTAAAGAGATTGGACAGCCACTTGTCCGGAATGGCATAAGATCTTGGACTTTCTTTCTCATCATTTCGGTTGGGCTGGCCAGGGGATTCTGGGAGTTGAAGTCCACACCTCTTAAAGTGGCCAAGTTTTGAAAATGACTGCCGTCAAATCGATTCAGACTTTTCTTTTGTAACCGTGAGGCATCCTAACACTTGCTCAGATTTCTCTCCTGCCTCCTGTAACTGTTCCACATCCATTCCGAAGAAGGTGTCAAAGTAAGCCATTATTTAAAAAAAAATACCAATCAAACAAGAATGGTTGCGAGATATGGGGATGTCTAGTTTGATGAAAAGGACTGGGAGGGGGAGCAGGATAGCATCTTCCAATATTTGAGGGGCTGCCACAGGGAGGAGGAAGGGATCAAGCTAATCTCCAAGGCACACAAAGGCCAGAGAAGGGACAATGGATGGAAACTGAACAAGGAGAGATTCAACCTGGAAATAAGGAGAAACTTTCTGACACGGAGAACAATCAACCAATGGAACAGAAGTTGCCTTCAGAACTTGTGGGAGCTTCATCACTGGAGGATTTCAAGAAGAGATTGGATTGCCATTTGTCAGAAATGGTGTAGAGTCCCTTGCTTGGGCGGGGGGGCTGGACTAGATGACCTACAAGGTCCCTTCCAACTCTACTATTCTGTATTCTAAGCGGAACCCAACCAGCCTGAAGGACAGCATCCTGCTCTAATTAATTAGCCTGAACAAGTCTTCCTAGGAATAAATATTTGCCCCCGTGCCATTTCTGTAATAAAAGAACCAAATATAAAATTCTTTAAAAAGAATTTAAATCTCAGCGGGCTTAGGAATTGGGCAGATGGCCGTCTATTTGCAGAGCGGGGTCATCTCCAAGACCAGCCCGTTCTTGGTTGGCATCGGATGGGGAGCTCCTGGGAGGGTATGGGATCTCCTGCTTGGGCAAGGGGTTGGACTAGACGACCTCCGAGATCCCTTCCAACCTTGAAAAACCCACGAACGATGTTTGTGAACAAGGTTGAAATGACTCATTGGCAGCAAATGTGATTTGCATGTCACCTTGGCTCTCTCCTTCCGCAGCAGGAGAGAGCAAAATAGTAGCACCAGCTGTCTGTAAAATACGGCTGTCACCTTCTTCACACCTTCTGGTTGTAAAAATTTAAAAAAAAAAATGTGCATTTTTAACCTGGCTCCGTTGTAGGCCCTTTTCTCTAGCGTTCGTACTGTTTCCTTGAAGCATCTTCCCACTTGAGTTTTTAGAATTCCTTAAATAGTCGAGCTGAAGGGAGGCTTTGTGGGGAGGGGGCTGGACCCTGCTGATCGTAGGTAGGCTAAAACCTGGGCAGGCCAAATTTACCAGTTGGGGTCGAGCAGTGATCTGTGCAGTGCCCGAAGAGTGGAAAAGGAGGGAAACAGCCCTGCCTTGAAGCTGCAGAAGGAAAGAGGAGTAGAAAAATGTGGAAACGACAAAGGCAAACAAAAAAGGAATGAGAAAAAAGGAATGCCTCTTTTCAACCAGGCAGATGAAATGTGGTTTTTTTTAAATGCAGCAATACAAAGATCTATTTTCTATTCTATTCTATTCTATTCTATTCTATTCTATTCTATTCTATTCTATTCTATTCTATGCTATGCTATTCTATGCTATTCCATGTTATTCTATTTGATTCCATTCCACTCCATTCCATGCTATTCTATTCTAAATTTCTAATTCTATTCTATTCCTATTCCTATTCTATTTCATTCCATTCCATTCTATGCCATTCTATTCTAAATTTCTATTTCTTTTATTTTATATTCTGTTCTACTCCAATTCTTATTCTGTTCTGTTCTTATTCCTACTCTATTCTATTCCATTCCATGCTATTCTATTCTATATTTCTAGTTCTATTCTAAATTTCTAGTTCTATTCTATTCTAAAAATCTATTTCTATTCTATTCTAACTTTCTATTTCTATTTCTATTCTATTCTTATTCTTTTGGCCCACCAGGAATGGTCAGATCTGAAGTGCTGGGGCTTGCGAAACACGGATGCCTACATTCTAGTGTACGACATCTGCAGTCCAGAGAGCTTTGAATATGTGAAAATGCTCCGCCAGCAGATCCAGGACAACAGGTAAGGGCAGGGGATGAAGGCAGGGGTGGAATTCTACCTGGTCAGGCCGGTTCTGCGCAGTTTGGAGAACCGGCAAATCGTGCCACAGGTTGTCCTCGCCTCTCCCCTCCCTGTCCACTCACTCCTTACCTGGCATTATGCACCATCCAACTTGCCTGCCTAATTTTTGGTAAGTTCTCACTCCAGGGGGAAAATTACTGCAAAATCCCCATTCCCTCCCCGCCCCACTAACCTGCTTTCCAGCTCCGTTCTCTTATGCAGAACAACCAAAGAAGACCCAGCCGATCAGCTGTGGGCGTGGCTTGATGGGTGTAGCATTCTGTGGGTGTGGCTTGGTGTCTTGGTGGGTGTGGCAGGGAAAGGATACTGCAAAATCCCCATTCCCTCCCCGCCCTATTAACCTGCTTTCCAGCTCTGTTCTCTTGTGCAGGGCAACCAAAGACCCAGCCAATCAGCTGGGGGTGTGGCTTGATGGGTGTGGTGTTCTGAGGGTGTGGCTTAGTGTCTTGTAGGAAGAAAAAGACCCAGCCGATCAGCTGGGACTCAATGGGAGGCAGAGAATAGATGAGGTTTGGCGGGGCCAGCCAGTGGTGGCATTGGGCGGTTCTCCGATCTACTCAAAATTTCCACTACCGGTTCTCTAGAACCAGTCCAAACCGGCTGAATACCACCTGTGCCACGCTGGTGCAAAACGTTCATCTTTTCTTGAAGTAGTGCATGCACAGAATAGTCAAAAAGTAGTGCGTGCAAACCTGCTCTGGGGCAGAAAAGACTGACCCACAAAACGTTTAAGGCTTCCCTCGATCCAATGAGGCTGCGGCTGCACAGAAATGGACTTTCCGGAAGCAGCTACGTTCATGAGCCTACGCACCAAAGCGTTGCCCGGACTGCTGAGCCGCCACCCCTCCAAACCTGAACCTCCTTTGTGTATCCTCTCTTCCAGGACAAGCAACATCGGCGAAGCCCCCGTCATCATCGTGGGGAGCAAGAGGGACCTGCAACGCCAGCGGTTCACGCCCCGCCGGACACTCTCCCTGCTCGTGAAAAAGACCTGGAAATGTGGCTACATGGAGTGCTCGGCCAAATACAACTGGCACATCGTCCTGCTGTTCAAAGAGCTGCTGTGCTGCGCTGTGGCCCACGGTTGTAAGAGCAACCACTCAGCCGTGCGCCTCCAGGGGGCGCTGCACAGAAACAGGTGCAGCCTCATGTGAGCTGGAGGGGTGGAGCCTGGAGCGGGTTGGAGGGCGGGGGAGGTCTTGAACAGGCATCTAAAACGGGGAGGGATCAAACTCAATTCCATTGAGGCTGTGGTTGATCTCATGGGGGGGCGTGGCCAACTGGATGCCACTTGCTGGGCATGGCCAACTGGATGGGCGTGGCCACCTTGAGGCCACTCCCCCAAACTGCTGGCCTGGCGTTTCCTCTTCGCATTGGGTAGACTGGGCCCGAAGCGAACGCAGGCTGGGCCCTTACATTTCCCAGGACGGGCCCCGGGCCGGATCCGATCACATCGTGGGCCAGATCCACCCTGTAGGCCTTGGATTTGATTCCCCCCTGATCTCAAACAAGGGGTGTTCAAATTGGGATGCTTTAAGACTGGCGGACTTCAACTCCCAGAATTCCCCAGCCAGCCATGCCTGCTTTTTCCTCTCTCTCTTAATCTCCTAAAGTGGAGAGAGATTGCAGAGGAAGGGATTGCAAGAGAGTTAAGCTATGCTGGCTGGGGAATCCTGGGAGTTGAAGTCCACCAGTCTTAAAGCAGCCAAATTTGGAGACTCCTTGACTTTGCAAAGTCAACCATTGGAAGAGAATCACAGCCATTATGATGAGTCATGCAAATCCTATGAACTATGATAGTTCCCAGCTCCTGTTGATAGGAATGTCTTTTATAATGACACATGTGGAAACCCCACCCCACCCCCTTTTGGGTTAAAGGAGTAAAGCATGCAACGGATAGGATCACGGCTTTTTTGGCCATCTTTGGACTCTTGCACACGTCTGGGGTTCGAGAATCGAAACAAGTAGATCCGGTAGCCAGCCGCCGTCGGGTTAGGCTGACCCAGAAGGAGCGTTTTTCCATTCCAAAACAATGCCAACGTTCAGAGGTTCACAAGTTTTGCAATACCAGGACACCCTGAAACAATGAATTAATTTGCACAACTCTCTCACACCTTCTCCCCACCCACCCACCCCCAAGCAATTCAAAACCACATTGGGTTGGATGGGAAATAAAGGAAGCATTGACTGAAAGGATAACTAAACTAATATTCATCCTGGCTTCTTATTTTTATCAGTTGACAGAATTTGCTTTTCGCTCAACAAAAGCTTTTCTTTTTTGAAAGTTGCAGGAGGGAGGGAGGGAGGGAGGGAGGGAGGGAGGGAGGGAGGAAGGAAGGAAGGAAGGAAGGAAGGAAGGAAGGAAGGAAGGAAGGAAGGAAGGAAGGAAGGAAGGGTTAACCTTGAATGGGTCAGGATCAAACTGCTGGCATGAGCTAGTCTGCAGTACATTCTAACCACAAGAGAGGGAGGGAGGGAGGGAGGAAGGAAAGGAAGTAAGAAGGAAGGATGAATTAACCTTGAGTTGGTCAGGATCGAACTGCTGGCAGTGAGCTAGCCTACAGTACTGCATTCTAACCACAAGGAAGGAAGGAAGGAAGGAAGGAAGGAAGGAAGGAAGGAAGGAAGGAAAAGAGCATGAGAAAAAGAAGGAAGATAGAGGGAAAACAAAAGAAAGATGCCCACTACCCCCCAAAACCTGTGCACGTTTCCGATCTGGAGCACAGCATACTTCCATACTAATGCACCCATTTACACACCCATACACACCCACCCAAAAAAGGGCGCAGGGCCACAGCAGGTGATATGTCAGTCTTTACTGTCTGGATTCAGGTATTGGCAGGTCGGTTTAATCAGCTACATTCACGGGGTTGGATAGCAGGCACTCTACGGGAGGAGCTCCCTATTACTTATATAAATATGCATAGATTTATTCAACAGATCTCCAGTGATCAGAGGGGTGGGGGGTGGGGGGGGTGTCACGGAGGCCGAGAGGGGGCCCTGCCAAAGAGAAATTCACGTGCAAAGACTTTAGCATTCCCTCCATGCCCACTTTTTCACACTCACGCAACCGACGTTTTCCCACGTGCAACGATTGCCTTGCAGAATTGGGGGAGTCCCTGGGATTCAGTTCAGTGGTGGGATTCAGCCGGTTCGCACCGGTTCATTAGAACCGGTGGCTAATTTTTCGTGGAGTTTGGCAAACTGGCTGAATCGGGGGGCCCCTCCCACCCAGCAAGCGGCCAGTAGGCGAGGTGAGTGGCCAGGCAAGGTCTGTGAGTGATGTTGAGTTGGTCACACCCACTGTGTCACATGATCACCCAGCCATGCCTACCCATCTGGTCATGAGGGCAGAGAAACGGTTGTTAAACTATTTGAATCCCACTACTGTTCCTGCTCCCGAAAATGTCTACCCAACTTTTCCCGAGGTTTTTAGAGAGGCTTCACCGGTGCCGCTCAGCGTCCATTATGTGCCACTCTCGCTGGGAGAAGAAAGGCTCGACTCCAAATGGGACCCACAAAACTGGAGTCAAACCACTTTCCCCAGCCAGTCCTTCGGCCTTCCCCCCTTCCCCCCCCCCCCCCCCCCCCCCCCCCCAACCAAGCCAACCCCATAAGGCACTCTTCCGATTCCGACTGCACGGAAACAAGGTGTGTGCGCAGAAGACGAACGGGGCAACTGCTCCACAACACAACGCCCTGACGAGAACGCAACACTCCACAATCCTGACATACTCAAATGCTCGATCCATGCCAACGCTGCCTCTGTGGCTGGAGGTCTGGAAACAAGGGCAGATGCTTTGGGAAAGAGGAGGGAAGAGGTAAAATAAAAATTAAAAAAAATATCAAAGGGGCAACCACAAATGTGCAATCAAAATTGCCATCCTTTTTGCCTTGTTCCTGAAAACAGTGGCCTTTCACCGCACGAGAATAGTATGGCAGCCCCAGACCAAAAGGAAGAAGCTGTGATGAGATTCACATCGAATCAGGCTAAACCTCCGGGGTCAGCTTTAGTGCTGGAAAAATATATATTTTCCAACCTAGAAATAAAGGGAGACTAGTACAGATCTATTTCGAGCTATTTATTTCTTGTCAGCTAAATGTACCCTTCTGGGATTCGAACCCGGGTTCATACCAGAAGGGCATGGCTAGCTGATGAGGGCTAAATAGCAATAGCACATAGACTTATATACTGCTTCACAGTACTTTACAGCCCTCTCTAAGCAGTTTACAGAGTCAGCCTATTTGCCCCCAACAATCTGGGTCCTCATTTTATAGAAGGATGGAAGGCTGAGTCAACCTTGAGCTGGTCAGGATTGAACTGCTGGCAGTCGGCAGAATTAGTCTACGATACTGCCTTTTAACCACTGGGAAGGAGGGAGGGAGGGAAGCAGGGAAGGAAGAAAAGAAGGAGGGAGGGAGGGAGGGTTTACAGAGTCAGCCTCTTGCCCCCAACAATCTGCGTCCTCATTTTACCCACTTGGAAGGACAGAAAGCTGAGTCAACCTTGAGCCTGGTGGGATTTGAACTGCCAAATTGCAGGCAGCTGGCTGTCAGCAGAAGTGGTCTGTAGTACTGCACTCTAACCACTGCGCCACCGTGGCTCTTGAAATAGCTCGAAATAGATCTATCCTAGTCTCCCTTTATTTCTTGGTTGGTAAAAAAACATAAATGTAACACAAAAATAGTTTGTCATGAAAGCGACTGCCTGCGAAGGCTCCTGGATCGGGGGGGGGGGAGCCAGAAGCGGAAGCAGTACACTCCGTCCCATATTCGCTTAGACCAGGTTGCCCTGATAAAGGGCAAACGATAAAACTCCAAAAGAAATAAGGGTTTTGCTGAAAAGGGAAAAAAACCACCGAGTTTCACCCACAGATGTGCCACAAATACTCCTTGACTGGCGGCCATTTTTAAACCACCATTCAAACGTTATGACGGCACCAAAAACGGTGACTTGCCAATGAATCTTGCGCTGACGGCTGCCCCGCGATCAAACTTCGGGTGCTTGGCAGCCAGTATCTTTACGGTGGTGACAGCCTCCAGGGGAGGGGGCATCATGTGATTGTTTGAGACCCTTTCGGGGGGGTTCTGAAGAAGTTAAATGGGGCAGGTGGATTTGCTTAACAACCGGGGTGAAACAGGTAATTAAATCGGGCACTTACCAACCATATCACTTAGTGACGGAGGTTGGCGGTTTATATCTTCGTAAATCGAGGACTAATTGTGCGGAACATAGATGGTTACAGAAACGCCAAGATGGCAGAAGCTGGACAGTGATTGACCAAAGGAGTGAATATTAACCCTGATGCTCCCTTTAGTATCCAGTGTTAAAGGACGTCCCCATACAAGCCTTTCACACATACGCGCCCCCCCAATATCAACACACACACACACACACACACATGCAACCTAAGCCCCAACCTCCTGGTACAGCCATTTAAGCTCTGCCGTCTTCCGGCCTCATGCTCCAAAAATAAAATATACAAGGATGGATCCCCTTTTGCAATGCAAGGCTTTCTCCCCCTTCTCCTCCCATCACCCAAAATAAAAACCCCCTCTGCACAGCAGCATATGACAAAGTCACACTGGGAAGAAGAGGTCCAAGAAAGCAGCTGGAAAGAGAAGGCCAGGACCACAGAAGCGGGTGCAAGGGGGGAGGAGAGGGGGGATGTACTGTCCACCAGTGCCTAGGCCCAAGCTCCCTCATTAGACATGCTGGACTCCACCGAACTCCCGGGACACTCCCCGAAGGACGAAGAGAAGATGTTGTGGAAGGCTGTCCAGCCCCGGCGCTCGGAGGGACCACTAGCTGGGCTGTCCTTGGAAGAGGCGCTTCCCATCGGAGGCTTCTGGGCTCCAGAAGCCTTGTAGCTGAGGGGAGTAGGGATTTTCGACGGGGTCTTGTCCGGTTGGGAGTCGGCACGAGGCTTAATTTGCGAGCGCAGCTTCAGCTTGTAGACGGAAGGCACGCGGTCGGGCTTCCTCAGGGACGACTGGGGACAGAGCGCGACTTCTTCCAGGACGAGAGCCGAGGGGGATGTGCCAAGGGTCTCCGGGCCATCCTGGAGGGAGGGTCCCAGCTCTGTGTGGGAAGGGGCCGGCTCCCCAGCAGCCCAGGGGCTATCCGCCAGAGGCTCGGCCAACTCCAGACTCTCCTGGACTTCCTGGACGTCGTTCAGTCCCAGGTAGCAGTTGCTTTCATCGGACGAGCTCGAAAGGATGGGTTTCCTCCAGCGGCTCCTTCGCTCACGGGATCCGGATGAGTCCCAGAGCTCGGAAGCATCCGCCGAGCCATTGTGGAAATCCACCAGCTCGGAACCTCCCATCATCTGGTGGGCTGTCTTCCGCTTGGATTCCTCGGGTTGGACGCCGTATTTGCTGAAGACGTTGAGGGAGGAAGAGGACGAGCTGGAGGAACAGTAGGCGGAGTCGGCAGTGCCTTGGTCCGGATTAGTGGGCAAGAGTCGGGCGCCGTTACAGGCCTGGCTCCCCAGATCCAGCTCTTCGTTTAGTTCCAAACCTATCACCTGAGCATTGGCCAGGAATTCTTCCTCCAGACGCCGGTAGAGCTGCTGCTCCTGGCTCGGATCGAGGTGCAGCGGGGTGCGGAAAGCCTGCGCCATCACCTCCAGCTCCTCTCCTAAAGTGTCATCAGGCTGCTTGGAGGGCCCACGCTCCCCCAACTGGGGCTGTCTCACGATCCCACGTTGTCCGGATAAGCAGGGCTGTCGCTGACGTCCTGTGGCCGGTGGAGGGATTCGGGCGGAGGGATTGGCCATTTTTGTGGCGGGCAGGGAACCCCGGCGCTTGGTGGGGGCAGGGCTTCGGGAACCCACCGGGGTCAGGTGACCCCTTGCTGGGCTCTTGGTCCTGGGGGTGGTTCTTCCAGAGCCCCCGGCATTCTCCTTGGGCTCGTCGGCCCGGGTCCAGGAATGCTGTCCATCCTTTGCTCGGCTGATAAGCAGCACGGGCTCTCCTCCAGGCCTTCCCTGGCTGCGGGCCCGGGGACGAGGGCTCTGCAGTCCAGGCTTGCTGGGCCGGCTTGTCACGCGAGGACGGCCCCGCTCTTCTGACTCAATCCTCCTAGCCACCGCCACACTTTTCGGCAAGCTGAGACGGTCTCGCGACTGACTCCGGCTGGCTGGCAGACGTTTGGGACTGGCAGGGAGCTGGGAGGCTGGCCCCTCAGAGATGTGCCTCCCAGCCTCCTTCCTGAGTGCCAGGCTGGCGTCCTCGTTCCGCTTCCTTCCCAAGCTGGCACTGTGCCTAGAGGAGGAGGAAGAGGAATCGCTGTCTCCGGAAAGACGCCGAGCCCTGGGGTTCCTGCAAGAAAGAATGGCAGCCTTTAAAACACCATTTTGGCCTCTGGATCATTGGGTGTAAATTCACGGGTATATATTCTATGCTTTTTTGTTCAAAGAAAAGCTTCCTATTTCCTATTGGTTAAAACAGTGAAGCAGTAAAGCACATGGTGACTGTACACTCTGTTTGATCTGTAGTGCTATATATAAACAGTTTCTTTTTCTGATTGCAGAGGGTCCTATATTTATATCTATTTTACAACAGCAAAAAAATCAGGAGGAATTTGAGAGCTGCTTTCCAGACAACCCAGGGAGAAGCTTCTCGTTTTTCATGACAGGGCTGTCCGAAAAGAGGCTCTTAGTCTTCAACCTCCTGTTTTTCTGTCTACCCCACCCTTTCCACTTAGTCCATTACGGAGCAATTAGTAGAATAGATAACCCAGAGAGCCTCCTCGGCTTTCCTTACTCATAGCTCTGGCTCAGAAAGCAGTCTGGAAAAAAACTGTCATCACGTCAGGCGGCCTCTCTGCCTTATCCTGCTTCTGTGCTTTGGGTGACTCACCCTTGGCTGCTCTTCTGTTTTCCCAACACCTGGCTGGGGACGGCTTCAACTTCTCTTCTGCTATCTGTTTAGGCCAGGGGTTTCCAAACTTGGCAGCTTTAAGACTTGTGTCTATGGAGATTCTCAGTGCTGGAATACAGTTTCCTTGTCTTTTTATGCAACAGCTCCGGTAACATTCAGCCAGTAGATGGCAATGTTTACAAGTTTGGATCTATGGTATATATTCTATGCCCTTTTGTTTGAAGAAAAGCTTCCTGTTTCCTGCGACAGTTAAATCAGTGAAGCAGTAAAGCACATGGTGACTGTACACTCTCTTTGAACTGTACTGCTATATATAAACAGAATTTCAAACACTCAGTTAACCAGGCCACAGTTGTCTCAAAAGTGTATTTTCGAAAGGCTATTCTATTCTAATTCTACTCTAATTCTATTCTATTCCATTCCATTCCATTCCACTCTACTTTATTTTCTCTTCTCTTCTCTTCTCTTCTCTTCTCTTCTCTTCTCTTCTCTTCTCTTCTCTTTTCTTTTCTTTTCTTTTCTTTTCTTTTCTTCTCTTCTCTTAATTCTAATTCTATTCTATTCTTTGTATGTTAGCACCTTGGACACCTAGAGAGCACACTGCTCAACATAGAAAGGAAATGTATGATGTAAAACAATAAAAAATATTTAAAAAATAAAAAGATGCAACCCCTTTTCATCCCATGCCTTACCTGACTGAGAGGTGGGAATCTCCCGGGTCCTGGGGGGCTTGGGACATGCTCCCCCTGAGAGGGCTGGCGCCCCTAAGACCTGACCCACTGCATTTCCCACTTGGTGGGGCCAGCATTCCCTGCCTCGGCGGGGTAGCCGTCCCAGATCTCTTGGTGGGAGGGCCGGGGCGGTTTCCTTTGGGTTGAGCCAGGTCCCCCCCAGCCAAGAGCCGCTTCTCCCCCAAGTGGTGGGTCTCAGTGACTCTATGCAGACCCACAGCTTCGGCCCGACGCTGAGTGGTGGGGCTGTTTGCCTGGGGACTGGCCAGACCGCTTGTCTTCTGGGGGGAGAAGCCAAGACCCCGACTCTGGGTCAGACGGTGAGCTGCAAAAAAAAAAAAATATATGAGAAAGAATATCTAAATAATCCTGTCAGTGTGTGAGAGAGTTGAGGACTGTTTGGAAACTGAAACCATATTTGCTGTGTGAGCAAGAAGGAGACAGCAAGGAGCTTGGGCGTGGCTTAGCTCAACTGTTCTGTCCTAAAGCTGCTTGCTGCTGTGAAACTGAAACGGAAACGCCTCTCCTCTGCTTGTGTTTTGCATTGGGAAGAGATTTCTTTTCAGGTGAGGAGGGGGAGTAGAACTCCTTAGCATCAGAGCGTGTTAATAATAATAATATAGGAAATACTAATAGCTCTGATGGTCATTTCGAAAAATCCTTTCTTAGTGAGCCCCTAGGAGCCCCAAGAGCCAATGTGCCAAATCTCAAGTTTGTAAGCTTTACGATTCTGGAGATTTTGTGATGATGCGTGAGTGGTATTTTTTGCTTTTATATATATATATAGATATCTCAACAAATGTCTGATGGCTAAAAGCCACCAGGGGGCGCCATTGCAATGCAGCAACTCAACCAACCTCTTGCTTGAGTCTCCAAGTTTTAATTATGTCATTTTTTTGGATGAATATTGTTTCCTGTTGCCTTTTTCTCACAGGAAGCTTCCAGTTAACTCCTTGGGGGATACGTGAGAGTGTAAATTGGGCTCTTTTTTTATCTTTTGTATTTGCACCAAGGCAAATTCTTTGTGCGTCCAATCACGCTTGGCCAATAAAGAATTCTATTCTATTCTATCTTTTTTTTCTTTTCTTTCTTTTAACTCCCAAAATTACAGCATGGAATTTTACACAGGGCTTTAACACCTTGGAAGGAAAATTTCCCAAAACAACTTTCCTTTTTTGCTGCCGGTGTTCAGGTCCCCCTATCGGTTTGAGGTAGCATCAGAGACACACGCGTGTGGTAGCATTTGAACTTGGGGCCCGGCCCGATCGGCTTCGCAGCCACCAGCTCCCAGCCATCAAAAGCTATTGACCAAGGACGCCTTGATCTGAAAGCCCATTGAAGATTTAGCTTTAGTGGCTTTAGTTGAGCTCCAAAATTCCAGCAGAATTGAGACCGCTAGTAGATCCCAGAGCTAAAAGGGAAAGCTGGGGTGTCGAAGACGATCCAGAAAGTAGGAAAAGCAAGCCATTTCTCTATGGTTGACCCCCCCACCTCCCCAAAAAAAGCAATTTAAAAAAAGATATGAAATGAGTAGTGGGTGGGGAAAGCGTAGAAGAGAGACCCTCCTTAGTTGGCGGGGAAAAGGTTGTACTTTCACACTCGCAAGTTTCTGTCAACATAGCTTTACAACACAATAGAATGAGCTCATCTAAGATAAGGTCACGTACATTCCACCCGCTTTCAGTTTCAGGCCTTTCCTTTCTGCAGTGGGGATCTCTGGTGCACCCTCCAAAGGTCAAAGTGTAGTCTTGGATACTCATCCCCGACTACAACGTGGTGGAAACGCATTCTTAGCTTTCTCTGCTCGATGGAGGAGAAGGATAGGCGGGCGGAGGAGTCAAGAGAGGAATCAGCCTGGAGTCTTTACATGGCCACAAACTTCCCCAATCCAATCCCTGGCCTTTATCTAACACCAATTATTGCTGAGCCTTAGTTGACTAGATCCTTGTGTATCACGGTTCATTGAACAACCCTGAAAGGTCGTTAAAAAAGGGGGGGGGGCAAAATTCACTTAATGTCTTGCATGTTGGTCTCCATTGTGGCTGCGCGTTAAGAACTACCGGTTGTTGGAAGTTAAAACCCACCCTTCTCCTAGGAAAATGAAATATTTTAGGATATACCGAAAAGGCAGAATATTTCCCCTAAAAAGAAAAGTAGAAACTCAAAAGAGGCAGAAACTCAGCCCCCCCCCTCCCCACCTTTGCTAATGGACCATTACTCTGGCCTGGGCCAGTCTATTTTACATAACAAAGACCTCCTCCAGGTAGAGCTATAATAGGAATCGCCCAAAGCCCTTTTTCATGACATCATCATCCAGCAAAGGCTCAACCAAACCTGGGACTCAAAGGACAGCCTACAGAGTTGCCCCTGCATAGCGCCATGGGAGTCTGACAACCAATCAGAATGCAAGCTCAAATTCAAATCTCCCAACAGAGGGTATAAAACCCAGGCACTCTCAGCATCTCAGTCCTTCCTTCTTTGGAGCTCCAAGCCATGTGGTCCTGTCCACCATTAAACCATCTTTCCAAATAAGCCTCCATGTTTCTTCCTTCCCCACTTGGAACTGAACCCAGAAGGATAATTCTTCCAACACCGTTTAGAGACAATAAGCGATAAATGATCTTTACTGGAACTTATTGTATGGTCCTGATTCTTCATGCATGACACTCGCGTGCCTGTCCTGACGCCAAGCCTCCCCCCCATTTCCCCTCCCCTCCGATACTTACAGACAGAGGTACACCGGCACGGATCATGTTTATCCAGGTAGTGCTCCAAGGTGTCCCAGCCCCCACCTACTCGCACCATCACGTGGCTGCGGAGAACCTAGGAAAGAAAAGGAAGGAAAATAACATCGTCCAATTAGGCCATTTGGATGTTGCTTTGAGGACCAGCAATGGACCAAGTCACAGTCCGGTTTTACCCAACCTTGTGAGTTCACCTGAAATGTTCTGGAGCAGAAAAAGAACCAGGTGGTTGAGTTTTGTTGGGTCCTGCCCTAAATCTATAATTTTATAGCCCACACACTATAAAAAAGATGTTTGATGACCCAAAGGGGCATGGCACAAAGGCCACACAGTCAGATAATCAGTAGGAGTCCCTTTATTAGCTCTAACTTTGCCCCCAATGTCCAGGTTACCTTCTGGGATGGAGAAAAACTCTCCCAGGAACAGCCTTTGGCTGCAAAAAATTAAGTCCAAAACAGGGTAAGCGCAAACTGTAACTTAAAGTCCAAACAAGCCAAACGGAAGTAATTAGTTTGACAGGGCAGGAGCAGGGATTTCAGACTTGAAAGCACAGCAAAACTCACACGGTTGGGAAGACGCCAGGAACACCAATAAGCCACGACGATACAAGATAAATTCACGTTTGCTCCCAACAGCCTGCCGCACGCAACCTGCCTTTTTTATACACTGTGTTCCCAGCTGCAGCTAATGAAGGAAATCAGGGCCCTTTCCTCCCCCGTAAGTCACACAACCCACGTTGCTCCCTTCTCCATTCCTCCCTGCATGCCTTAGGATGAAGAGGGAGTGAGCCTGAGTCTTCCTCTGAACTCCCTCTCCCTTGTTCTACCTCTCCCCTGCTCTGCCCAGACGGACTTTGCCCTTCCCCAGTTTCCTCCACAGCCAATGGAGCCCGACTCCCATTCCCTGTAAGCTGTTTGGCTTTCTCCTCGGATTCAGACTTCCGACAGGGGCATGACAGATGTTGAGACTGTAGAAAGAGGGCAGAGAAGAGCAACCAGGAGGATGAGGGGACTGGAGGCTCAAACATACGATGAACGGTTGCAGGAACTGGGCTTGGCTAGTCTGGTGAAGAGAAGGACCAGCGGAGACAGGCTCAATTGGCTCAGACGTAAGTTGAGAACTTCCTGTCTATTCTGAGACTCTTTGTGGAACCTTTCCCCACCCCCCAATGGCGACTTGTCGTCTTTGGAACTCCCTGCCACAGGAAATCAGTCTCCATTGCAAAAACCTAAAGCATAAAAGTTGCCATTTCTGGCGCTTTTTCTTTAAATAGTCAATAACCGTCCCGAATCTCTCCATTTTGGAGCTTGCCCTCGCTCGGCTGGTGCATGCTATCAAAACAGCAGCAGCTCTGGTTGTGTCAACGTATCTTAAAAAGCCAAGCCCTATCATTACGCACCCGAAAACAATCCTGCTTGGAATAACATGAAAGGGCAGGAGATTATCTTACGTTTAGGACTGTATTTTTATCCTAGCAATTTTCTCGCTGGGGCCTGAGGGATGGTTTTGCAGGGGCCCCTTAAAACTGCAAAAGAAGGAAGGAAGGAAGGAAGGAAGGATAAAAGAAAGAAAGAAAGAAAGAAAGATAGATAGAAAGATAGAAAGAAAAAGGAAAGAAAGAAAGAAAGAAAAAAGTTAGAAAGAAAGAGGAAAGAAAGAAAGAAAGGAAAAAGAAAGTTAGAAAGAAAGAAGAAAGGAAGAAAGAAAGAAGAAAGATAGAAAGAAAGAAGAAAGAAAGATAGAAAGATAGAATGAAAGAAAGAGGAAAGAAAGAAAAGAAGAAAGAAGAAAAAGGACGAAAGAAAGGAAGAAGAAAGGAAGAAGAAAGAAAGAAGAAAGAAAGAAAGATAGAAAGAAAGAAGAAAGAAAGGCATCATAATGAATGAGAATTTGTCGTTCAAAACTGAGGTGCTGCCTTCCCTTCCATCCACCATACAGATTTCACTCTGATCTTAAGGGCTTAGGCAATTTAATCTGAAAGCCCAGGGAAGCAGAGAGAGGATAAAACAGGCCACTGAAGCAATTGCCAATCCTTTCCATGCGGTGATTAAAAATGATGTCCCTGCAACATCCCAAACACCAAGATTTAAGGGCACAACAGGAGGGTCACCCTTGAAGTCTGAAAAAGGAAGATGAACAGCCGACAGGGAGTGGGAGTGTGGCTCCGTTGGCTGTGGAGGAAACTGGGGAAGGGCAAAGTCTGGCTGGGCAGAGCAGGGAAGAGGTAGAACAAGGGAGAGGGAGTTCGGAGGAAAACCCAGGCCGATCCCCTCTTCATCCTAGGGCATGCAGGAAGGAACAGAGAAGGGAGCAATGTGGGTTGCATGGCTTATGGGGAGGAAAGGGCCCTGATTCCCTTCACAAGGCACACACTTTCTTGTTTTCTTGCAGACGTTTCATTACCGAACTAGGTAACATCATCAGTGTTAGGAGGGAGTGGAGTGGAGTGGAGAGGAGGAGGGAGGAGGAGGAGGAAAACGACTGTGGGGTCCTTAGTGTTCTCTGAGCTTCATGATTTTCTTGCAGATGTTTCATTGCCCTACTAGGTAACATCATCAGTGCTAAGGAAACACCTGCAAGAAAACCACCAAGCTCAGAAAAAAAACCAAGGACCCCGTATACCAACTTTTCCTTAACCTGGCCCCAGCCAGAGCTGCTGGACTACAACACCCCTCGTCCACAGCCTGCACGGCTTAATTGCCAAGCAGTCCTTCTCCATGGGCCTTCCTGCGCCTTAACGAATTGTGTGGGGGGGGGGGGAACCTATCTATGCAAATGCACAGGCTTAGGTTGTGGAAAAATAGAGCAGTAGGAGAGCCCGTTGTGTGTGTGTGTGTCTGTGTGTCTGTGTGTCTGTGTAAAAATCTCAAACTGTGGCTGGAACTGTGCAATAGACATGGGGGGATAGTGAAGCAAACCCCCTCCCCTTTTGCGAAGGCGGGAGGCGGCTCTGCCAGGCTGCAAAGATTGAAGAAAGACGCCAGCAGTGGATTTTGGCAGAAGAGAGAGAGGGGGGGGGAGGGAGGGAGGGAAGGAGGGGGAGAGAGAGAGAGAGAGAGAGGGAGAGAGAGAGATGGCCACAGCTGACCTGAGACTCAGGCCACAAATAAGGCAGAGCTTTTGAAGTCTGCCCAGGGATCAGGCTCTTCAGCCCTGGCCTGATTTCTCCCCGTTGCTCTGGGTCAAAGCCCGATTTCTCTTCCCTATTCCTCCCTTCCCCCCCCCCACTCCCTCCCCAGCTTAAATAAATCTGTGCCAGATGATCCGTGGCTCTGACGTGGCTGGCAGTGCTTTCCCAGACCCTCAGCTCAGCTTCTTCGCCTCCCCTCTGGGTTTGCCAATTACCTGCCCCCCCCCGGCTGTCTTTGGCCAATACTGTATATTTCTGGAAGAAAACCTATTTCTGAAGGATTTGGGGGGGGGGGGGGGGAGGCAGCTTTGTGGCATAGATGCAGAATGCAGCCCCCTCCCCCCAAGACAGCTGGAACGAGTCTCAATTGCCGTGGACCTGAATTGCTGGGTGGCTCAAACAGCCACATAATGAAGGAGGCTTTTGCAAAGGGGTTCATTAACCTCCTGCAGATGCTTTGCTACAAACATCTGTTTCCTGCTATGCTTCGGTCATGCGAAAATGAGCACAGCTGCCTCCCTATTTTTCCCCTCCTATACCATGATTTTTTTTTATTAAACAAAAAAAATCCTATATTTATGGAATATATATGTATGTATGTATGTATATGTTTTCGTAGATTTTTACGGGTACAGGTATGTAGGTTCTAGGTGTCTTTCCTGTGTAAGATTAAGAGTACCTTGGCGACGTTTCAGCGAGGTCCCACTCGCCATCCTCAGGCTGGTGCTTTCGGCTTCGTGCCAGTGCAAGCAGTGTGAGATCGGAGCTGCCGTCTCTCTGTAAATACTGGTGGTGTGGGCTGGTGTGCTGGGCTGGTTGGCTGCGCTGCTGCCTCTTGATTGGTTGATGGAGTTGATGTTGGTATAATGGGCTGTGTGATGGCCTTGTGAGTTTTGTTGTGGAGAAGCCAAAAGCACCAGCCTGAGGATGGCGAGTGGGACCTCGCCGAAACGTTGCCAAGATACTCTTAATCTTATACGGGAAAAGACCCGAACACACCTAGACCTACATACCTGTACCCATAAAAATCTACAAATATAGATAGATAGATAGATAGATAGATAGATAGATAGATAGATAGAGATATAGATATAGATATAGATATAGATATAGATATAGATATAGATATAGATATATATCCTAAAATGTAGGATTTTATTTTAAAAAATCCTAAATTTATTAAAAAAAAAAACATAGGAGGAAGCATGGAAGAAAATCTCAGGTTCTCCTTTGTCTTCATCTCTCTAAGAATCCCAAAGGTGCAAGAAGCAACTGAACTTTTTTGTTTTGTTTTGTTTTTGAAGACCTTTCACTTCTCATCCAAGAAGCTTCTTCATCTCTGACTGAATGGTGGGGAAGGGAAGGATTTATAGTCCTGGAGGACAGCTGGACATTTGCATTTCATCTTAGAGAGGCGTTGAGACTACTTGGAGGTTAATCACAGTCATCAATGTGAAAATGGTCATAAGTCACTTTTTGTAACGTCAAATGGATACTAAATGAACTGCTATAAATCAAGGACTATCTGCATTTTAAGAAGCGTCCACGCATCTGGCTATTAAAAAAAAAAAATGAGACCGTCTTAATGTTGCTTTCCAATTCCCAGCATTGAATTAACTACGATCTGCCTTCGTTTATGGATTCGTGCTTCCCATTCTTTTATTATTGTTTCTGCAATGAAATATTTATGTCAATTATGTCTGAAAATATTTGGAGATATGCAGGAAGGCCATTTTGCAGAAGAAGATTTCAGGGTGAGGCGGAAAGAAAAAGAGACAAGGAAAGAACGGCCTCAGGCACTGAAGAAACAAACAAACAAGCCAACAATGATGGTTTGTTGTCATTTTCAATCACAAAAGATTAATCTCGGAATAGATCAGGAAGCATTTCAAAAGCCACTGGGGTTTCTGTCAAATTATAATCTGCTTTTTCTTTTGCTGTTGTTTTTTAATACACTACCAAGCACATGAATAGGCAGAAATGGGAGATTAATTGACCTGGAACTAACCATCTCTTGGGATTCTCCAGGCTGCCTAAAGTTTTTTTCTGGCTGGGGAGTTCTGGGAGTTGAAGTTCAGTTTAAAGTTGCTAAAGTCGAGAATCATTGGGCTAGAATAATTTCTAAACAGAAATTAGAAGTTTGAAAACTTTTTCAGCCTGTTTCACAAGAGGAGGGAAACATACACAGTATTATTGTTTATTTATCATTATTCAACTAGTGGGGATAATATGGGTATGTGGGGTTTTTTTTTCAATGCACTTTTAAAATGTTTTTGGGGGGTGTTGTTTGTTAATTTCTGTGAATTGTCTTTTTCTCTCTCTCTCTGTCTTTTTTTTTGGAGCTTTGTATTTTAACTTTGTTTTTGAATAAAAATAACAAAAAAAAATATAAAAAAAGAAAAAGAAGATAATTTTCGAAGTAGGATGGAGGGAATTGTAGTTCAGCGATCTTTGGGGGGGCGGACATCAAATATTCCCACCCCTGATGGAAGGAGTGGAATTATTCTCCATCTCCATTAGATGTCTACGGAGATTCTCCATCATCCAGGTCATGGTTCTCCCAAAAGTGCTTTTTTCCAAGAGGCAACTGGACTTTCTTTGAAGACATTTTGCTTCCCATCCAAGGAGCTTCTTCAGCTCTGACTGGATGGTGGGGAATGGAAGGATTTATACTCCTTTCAGATAGCTGGTCATTTGCATTGTTTTTAGAGAGTCCGTTGAGGCCACTTGGAGGTTTGTCTGTGTCTTCAGGGTCAAAGAGGCCATTGATGTCCAAATTGAACAGCCCTCCCTCAACACGGGGGGGGGGGGGGGGGGGGGGAGGGATACGGCATCATCAATTTCCAGTCTCCAACACGGTCCTTTCAGCACTTCCAAAAAAGCTCCACTTTCATTTGCACCACGCAGGTGACTCTGAGGACACAGAGAAACCTATAAGTGGCCTCAACGCCTCTCTAAAAGGATGCAAATGACCAGCTGTCTGCAAGGAGTATCAACCCTTCCCTTCCCCGCCATCCAGTCACAACTGAAGAAGCTTCTTGGACGAGAAGCGAAACGTCTTCAAAGAAAAACAACAACAAGAAAGTCGAGTTGCCTCTTGAAAACAAAAAAACACCTTTGGGGTTGCATCTCCCAGGTTAAAAAAAAAAAAAGGAGGGGGGGCGGGTCTGGTTTTGCTTTGGAGAAGCCAGCCAGGCTAGCTGAGGAGGATGGGAGTTGTAGTGCAGGATGTCAACAAGAGCAAGCGACCAGGCCGTGAGAGGCACGTGGAGTTTCCCCCCCCCAATCCCTGAATCCGAGGGGATGGAATTAAGAAAGCGGCAAAGGAAGGCTTCCTTGCCGTCCATTCAACCACCTGGGCGGGAAATGAGGGATGAAACGATGGGGAAAGGGGCAGAAAAGGAGAGAGTAGTTGCAAGGCGACCTTACCCGGACGAAGATGAGCGCGTTGGAGTCTCCGACTTGGTATTTGCCCTCCGAGACTTTGACCATGGGGAACTGGGACGGGCAGGTACAGTGGCCCAGGATCTCTCTTACCTGGAAGGAAGGGAAACAAACAAGGTTGGAGTAGGAAAAAACACAGGCCAGCTAGTTTTACCTACGAACAGAGTTGGAAGGGACCTTGTAGGTCATCTAGTCCAGGGGTCGCCAACCTTTTGGATCTCAGGGACCACCAAACTCATAATTTAAAATCCCGGGGACCACTAATATGAATTTTGACTGACGGTGGCTGGCTGATGTTGGTGGGAAAGAAAGAAAGAGAGAGAGAGAGAGAGAGAGAGAGAGAGATCTGATCTAACCTCTCTCTCTCCCTCCCTCTCTTTCTCCCTCTCTCTCTTTCTCTCTCTCACACACACACACAAACACACAAGCACACAGAGGCGGGGTGGGATTCAAATTTCTTAACAACCGGTTCTGTGGGTGTGGCCTAATTTGTGGGTGTGGCTTGGTGATCATGTGACTGGCTGGGCATGGCTTGCATGTAAATATTATAAATATTTATATAAATATTGAATTTTTTTTTTAT